GGATTACAACTGAGATGGAAAAAAAAAATGTACAAAATGATATAAAAATAAACTTATAAAAAATTTGCATTTAAGTACATTTATAGATGTACTAACATAACTGGTCATACTAGCATTGTTTATAACTTCAAAAATCTGGGGGGAAATGTCCATTTTAGGATTAAGAAAAGAAATTATCACATCAATTAAGTGGAATTTTTGCCACTATTTAAAAAGAACAAGGTGGGGAAAAGGTTAAAATTTTAAAAATAATAATAAGGCCCCCTCCCTGGTGGCACAAGGGGTTAAATTGCAGCACTATGAAGCTATCCTCAGCCACTGCAGCAAGAGTTTGATCCCTGGCCAGAGAGGTAACCCACATGGCGTGGCAGCCCTGCCACTGGCTGCTCCCTTCAGGGTGTATTTCAGTCAGTCCACCTGTTTTGTTCCCCACTGTCTCTGGTGAATCCTCTCACCTCTAGCACACAGCATTTATTCATATCTCTAGTATATATGAATAAAAGTAAATCTTTAAAAATAATAATAAGGTGGCCCTCCCTGGTGGTGCAGCGGGTTAAAGCACAGCACTGAGAAGCTAAAGCCGCTTCCGCATGAGTTCGATCCCCGCCTGCCCCGGAGGTGACCCACATGGTGTGGCAGAGCTCTCCTGACCCGCCCGCTGCTCCCCTCAGCAGTGTACTTCATTGATCTGCCTGTTCTGCTCCCCGCTCTGTCTCTGGTGAATCCTCTCACCACTCCTGCACCTCTGGCCTGTGTCCCAGTTCTGTATGCACAAATAAATAAATCTTTAAAAAAAAAATAATAAGGTAAGTCTATCCTCATGTATTGAGTAAAAAATTTTTGAACACCTACTATGTGTCAGATGTGTACTAAGTGTAAGCAAACAAGTCATAGTTCTTGCTCTTGCCATAGTTCATACTCTCCTTGTAAGGGAAACAGGCGTAATAATATATGAGTGCAACTGATCACTTTTTAAAAAGGGGAACTGTGGTTCTATAAGAGCATGTACCAGTAACAAAAAACTTGACCTATAGTAGAGGTTCAGGGAAGCCTTCCCTGAGGAAATTTGATCCGATATGTAGAGGCTGGATAAGAATGAATTAAATGAAAAGTATAGACATTTCAGAGGTATGGAATGTGTATGTAGATAGGCCTTGGTGATGAGAGGAAAGAGCAGCACTGAGGAGCGAAAGGAGGGCTGTAGTGTAGTTGTATGAGATAAGCCTAGAAAGGAATGGGGCAGGGCTTTGTGAGCCATGTTAGAGGTTATGCACTTTTAAGAGTAATAGGAAGTCTTTGAATGATATGCAGGTTTTTTCCCATTTTTTAATCTTATGTAATAAGATATACATTACACAAAATTTGCCATCTTAATTAAGTCTTAAGTCATAGTTGTACTATCCCCACCACCATTCATCTCCTCAAACTGGTACTCTGGATGCAGTGTGGTTTGCACACCATTGTGGATGAAAGAGTCTGGTAAAAGATTATTACAGTAATCCAGAGAAGAAGACAGTTGAACACTGAACTAGGGTGCTGGCTGTGAAGATGGAAAGAAATGAAGTAGATAGAGATAATTAAGAGAGAAAAGCAACAGACATCGGAGACAGGTAGAATCTGGGGTTGGGAAAGTGTCGTATTAAGGATGTCACCTGGCTTCTTGTCCCAAACACAGAGGTGATAATGATGGATATATGGCAAACACTGAAAGCGTATTCTTTGCATGTGCTCCTACAGAAAGATGACTTTATTACTAAGTGACAAAGGCAAGGTCAAAGTAGTGTATGTAGTATGGTTACAGGACAGGGAGAGAGGGGTGCCCCTGAAGCCCCAAATCTGCCTGCTCTAAATGGGTTCTGCCATCCACCGCATTAAGACAAAACATATAAAACTTTAATGAAAAGGGACTTTAATACAATGAGTATACAATATAGAAGACAAAGAATATAATGTCTAAATCGGACACCTGAAGTTACCCATCCCCTCGTGGGCAAAAGTCAACCCAAAAGGGATTGGCCCAAAGCAAGGCCTGAAAGCCTGCCACAAGACTAAAGCACCTTCTGGCCGGGACCCATGGAAAAGGGTCAGAAATGGCCAGACAAGTCTGGGAGGAAAAGAGCAAAATCAAAATCAATATAAACACTGCCATAATCACCTCCCTACAGATATCTCATCCACATCTGCCTTAACTAGTCCAGGGCCTGGAAGCAAGCCTGGTTTCTTCCTCACATGCTTGCTGCTTCATGTGGCTTCCTCAGGTCTCCATCCTGCTTCCTTCTTCTCTCTCTTCAGCTCCACCCTACTTCTGGGTGGGGTAGGGAACCTGGAACTTCCCCTTTTCCTAGTTTCCTGTTATAGTATGTTTCTGTTTACAGTAAAAAGAAAAAAACATGTTTGTATAGATACGTTATATATTATATATGTTAGAGATATCTGTGAGAAGAAATAAATAACAAGTTCAGAATGGGAATGAAGGATTGAGGATCTTTTAACTTTTTGGTGTATGTAGCCTTTGGAACTACATGGCATTCTTAGGAACACACATCATTTATATTAAATAAACATTTTTTGGAGCCTCATTCACAGATTCTGAGAGGCTGGTATACATTGATGAGACAGTTGAAGTAAAGTTGATTGAAGTACTTCTAATGAGCTGTGAAATAGATCTTAAGTATTGTGTGAAAGATAAGTAAAGATCGATATCTTTCAGAATAATTCTCATTTATTAAGAAAACAGCTGAATGACCTCCCACATCTCTGGCCTTACCCAGAGTTCTTGTATGCATAAATAAGTTTCTTTCTTTAAAAAAAAAAAAAAAAGAAAAGAAAAAAACAGCTGGATGGGATGTGTTTTAGAAATGAACACACAAGATATAAAACATGTCTTATGCAGATAGGGTGGCTTTTTTAGGATTTTATTTTGTTTGTTTGTTGTATGGTCTTTTGAAGTCCTTTCTACAAGAAATTCATCTGCTCTGGGGTGCCTTCCTTACCCGCCTTTCTTCTCCACCCTCACCCCACCCTATCCCACACACTGAAAACCAAGACACCAAGAGCAGGATAGGAGGATCAAAATCTGAAATTATTTTTCATAGTCTAGAATAGGTGTATTTCTTGGGTCAGTTATAACTGGACAAATAGTTGTTGTATCTGGCCTTGCCTGTGAGACTGCTAAATGCTAAATGAATGATGAGCTGGTATAGAAAGTTTTCCCTGTAGGCAACTAGAAAGACAGTTGGCATACTCACGGAGAAGTTATGTGACTGGGGGTAGAGAAGATGAGTTTTTTGTACATCCTCACTCTCCACAGAAGCACCATGGGTTTTGAATTGACTAACTATATGTAAATTATCATTGAAGTCATGAGTGAGATGAGAAAAGAGCCAAGGACAAACCTAGAAGGGACAAGCAGTGCAGTAGG